TACCGTGACGATTGTGACAACGATTATGATGATAGCGTCCCATCGCTTGATCTTCCGCTTGAGGTACTTGGACCTCTTCCGAAGCGAACCAGGCACAAACGTCGCCACTATCATCGGCAGGGAATACCTGGACAGATTCACCCATCAGCAATGCACTCAGTGGCCATATGTGTGTGGGTGTGGGTGTGGGTGTGTGGATGGGAGAGCTGCGTACCATTTGAATGTGTGCAGCACGACGACAAACATGATTCCCGAGAGAGAGGCGATGGGGATGTAGTTGAGCGCGGGATAGCCTCCCACAAGCATCACGAAGATGCCCAGGGCCGTCACCACACCTACACACGACCCACACACACACACACCCAGATGCGGTGGATGCATACTTACATGGCTGGATGGATGGATGGACACCTACCTGATTCCTTGCCCATGGACCCGTTTCTGCAGTTCATGACTGAGAGGCCGATCATGGCGTTGCCGCCCATCCCGCCCAACAGACCCGCCAACGCGTTGCCCAATCCCATACCAAACACCTGCGGATACACACCACACACCACACACCAACACGTGAATGCATCCACTCATCCATCCATCCATCCATCTGTCATGTGTCATGTGCTCATTGTGACTGTATCCCTGTTCTCTCTCTCTCTGTCTGCCTGTCTGTCTGTCTGTCTGTCCCTGTGTGTGTACATGCCTGTTGGTCCCCATCTCCCGGCGTCTTGAGTAGGTCGGTCACCACCTCAGTCGTCATCAGGCTCTCCATCGTGGCAACCGCGAACAAGGTTATGCCTACACAACACACACACGCACACACACACACACACACTCTTACAGGACTGCTCGGTGCCTGCGCCTGTTTCAGCCGACCCCACCCTGCACAATGATGCCCGTGACGGTAGCGGTCATATCGACATTGCCTTCGCTGTCCCTCTCTCGGATCTTGTCCAGGTCGTAATCACTGTTCAGGAAAAACGGCATTGGAAACGCCTAAACAACCACACACCACACCAACCAAGAGAGAACCCAGAGAGACATCCATCCATTCTCCCTCCCTCCCCCCCGTGGCTGGCAGACCAACCGTCTCTTGAGAGAAGGGCGCCACGTCGCCAATGGTCTTGGTTCGGCCGCCGAAGGCCTGGCGCACGATGACAAGCTCGAAGAAGACAGACGCCACCACCGCCACCAGCGATGACGGCACCAGCTTGCCCACCACTGGCACTTTGGGGAAATACTCCATCTACACACAAAGACACGCATACACACAGACACACGCGCATACACACACAAAACATCTTTGTTGGTCAGCCCTGGGCGATTGCGTACGAGTGCCATGGCGAGGATGCAGAGGAGCGCCATCCAGACGGCTTCCCAGCCGGTGACCCACTCGTGTGTGTGTTCGTCCTGGAACGGGTGCAGCTGCGCTATGCCGATCACTATCGCCAGACCGTTCACAAAACCTGCACACACGCACACCACCCACACAGATCACAATACAGACAGAGAGAGAGAATAGCCCATGTGTGTCTGCACTTTTCTCTCCCCCTCTGCCAGTCTGTCTGAATTTGCCCCGGCCGCCCGGCCCGGCTCACCGATCATCACTGGTGTGGGCACCAGCTGGATAAGACTGCTGAGTCGGAAGAAGGCAAAGACGAACATGAGGACCGACGCCACGATGACCGACACGAAGAGCTTCTCCACACCGTCGTACACGTACTCACAGTCCCCTCCGCCCGTACCATCCTTGCACGAACGCGACACAAACGTGCCCGCCACCGCTGCTATCGCCCTGATATGGGACCCACAGCACGTTTGCAGACCGGATTTTTGATGTGTGTGGGTTACCCAGTGGCTCCGTTGATCATGCCAGGCCTCCCCCCGAAGACCGTGGCGAAGAGGCCGACGATCCACGCGGCGTGGAGGCCGACTGACGGGTCCACGTTGGCCATGAAGGCGAAAGCCACTGACTCCGGGATCTGCGCGAAACATATGATCAGACCTGACGAACGAATGATACACACACAACACACAACACACGACACGGAAAACACACAGCGAGTGGGTAAACCACAGACATACACTGAACCCGGATGGAGGTGGCTGCCTGACCTGAGAGTATCTCCGTCTTCCAGTAGGTCCAGTCTTGCCACCCGCCGAGAGCCCATCCCCAGGTGACGCCCTTGACGACGTGCAGCAGGGAGTCCCCCTTGCCCTTGGCGCCGCCCAGCCGCAGCACCGACTTGTAGCCGGGCAGCGGCTGCGGCACGTCGCTCTCGGTCGTCTTCGTCTTGCCTGTCGGGCGCTTCTCATCATCTTGATCCACGTCGGGTGGGTCGCTGAGATGGAGCCGCTCGCTGGGATCTGGCTGCCCGCTCATATTACTGAAGTGCTGTCGGTTGCTGCTTTGACGACAGACTGGCGCTTTTCTGAACGGAAAAGCACGCAGATGACGCCACGATCACACGTGCGAACCCTTTCTGAGGCTCTTCTTACCTGGTTGTTTGCAGCGCCGAATCTGCGTGAAAGGGAACTTCAGGGTCAGGCTCGCAGAAGCGACCTGAATTCAGCGTTTGAGGCTTTGCTACGTCATCGCAGCCCTCGAGACAATTCTCAAGGTAGCCACAAGCATAGATTGGCAAGCGTCAAAGGACACAAGACACAAGACACAAGACACCGACATTCTCTCTTCTGTGCGTGTGTTTCGCTTGCAGGAGAACACCCCAGTGATAGCTACATCCGTCAGGACAGCGTAGCCAAGGATGGGAGGCGACGGCGGCTCCATCCCCGGCCGCGCGGACATGATCCGCACAGCCGGCTACAAGTTCGCCCGCAATCTCGGCGGCATGGGCTACACGCCCAACACACAGGTCCGAGCCGGCGACGAGAAGTACGACACCACCACCGAGCGGCGACTTCGGTGGGGCACATGCGCTGTCAGCCAGGAGAAGCTCTCCCCGCCTGTCGTGGCCTGCCGGCTCGGTCAGCTCTACAACAAGGAGGCGCTGCTGAGGCGTCTGCTGGACAAGACCCTGCCGCCCAACGCGGAGCACATCCGTGGGTCTCGCGACTTCCGTGAGGTGGGCGGGGAGTGGAACAGCTCGACGGGTCGGCTGGTGTGTCCCATTACGAGGGTGGACATGGACGGCAACGCCAAGGGGGTGCTCGTGTGGAAGTGCGGGTGCGTGCTGTCGGACAAGGCTCTCAAGCAGTTCGGCAACGAGAGCAAGAACCACAACCACAGCAGCAGCAACACAAAGGAGGGCGAGAGCAAGCAGCAGGAGGACGGCACCACCACCGACAGCAAGAAGTGCCTCAGCTGCGGTGCCGTCTACACCGACGAGGACCTGGTGTGTCTGGTGCCCACCGAGGACGAGCTCAAGGCCAACAGGCAAAAGATTGACGCCATCAGAGCCAAGAACCCCAAGACCAAGAAAGCCAAGGCAGCGGCAGCGGCAGCCAGCAACGATACACCAGCACCCAACGGTTCAGCGGCGGTCGAAAGCAAGAAAAGACCCGCCGAGCCGGCCAACAGCGCGCCGCCAGCACCACCACCAGCAGCAGCGAACGGCGAGGTGGTGCCGTCGGCAGCCAAGAAGGCCAGGGTGGGTGAGGGTGGTGAGGGTATGAGGAGTCACCTGGAGGGCAAATCTGACGTGTACAAGTCGCTGTTTGTCTCGTCCAAGGGGCGCGGGTGACGTACTGAGGGAGGGGCGTCTGATTGTCGCGTGGGTCGGTGCATATGTGCGTGCGGGGAAGGGCTGTATTGATGAATCGAGCGGATGGACGGGCCGGCCATTTTTCCGTCTGTCTCTGTGTTGATTGACCCAAGGTGTGCTGTGACGTCAAATGTTAAACCACTCAGTGGGCGGGCGGCTGTTTCCAGCAGTGTCGTCACTCAGTGTGAGGTGGGTGGATTCACAGCGAGAGAGACAACAAGTGAGAGTCGAGTCGGAAAGAACGGAGAAACCGCTTCTCATGCACATGCATGGACACGACACAATTAATGCCGACCGACCGGCCAAAAAGAGAGAAAGTCGGAATGAGGGAGTGAGGGAGTGAGGGAGGAGTGACGCTTCCGTTGGCCTGCCCCCACAACACACACATACACACATCAGTGAATCATTGAATGGGAGGAGGTGAGCGGCGAGGGAGTGGACGAGTTGATGAGTGAGCCATTTCATTCAGCAAGTAAGCATGCGTCACACATCGACATGAAGTGGCTGACATGACATGACATGCAATGCATCAATCATACCATCCATCCATCCATGTGTCTGTCAAAAGCTGGCGTTGTTCATGTATTGGCAGCAGGCACCTCCACTAGCGTGCAGCCATTCGTCCATCCGCTGGACGACTCATCAATGCACACATTGACTGACAGGAAAGACCAAGGCCGGCCGGCCTCCCGGGGTGTGTCGGTGTGCTGTGCCATCGCAGCAGCGCAAAAAGGTGCTGCTGGCGGCACACACACACACACACAGAGGACCCCACCAAACCCCACCACACTCACCGGACGGACGTGTCTACAGCGTACGACCACGATACAGGTAGATGGGCGGTTGCGTTGGCACCGCTCTTCACTTATCTGTCTCTGTAAGGTACTTAGTGAACGACCTAAGCCATGGACGGAATGGAAGCGCTCTGCTCCCAGTGAAATCTGGGGAGGCGTTCCATCCATCCATCCACCCGTGGACACACACACACACACACACACAGACAGACAGGCAGGCAGACAGCCATGAGAGATGGCTGAAGAATGAAGGGACGAAGGAGGCCAGTCTTGCAGTAGTGAGTAGCGTATGTAGGCAGAGATGAGATGAGATGAGTCAGTGAATCCACCGCAAGAATTGCCTCATTGTAGTCATTGTAGACACAAGAGCACAGCCACAGACAGCCAGACAGACAGCCAGACAGTGTGTGTTCCGACGACCGAGCGACCGACAATGGTGTGTGTGTGTGTATATGGACATGGATCTCCTCCCCTCCCTCCCTCCCTGTCTGCCTGCCTGCCTGCCTCTCTACGTTTCGTGTGTGGCCATCCCCGGTGAAAAAGCCCCGGAAGTGGATGCCACAGCACGACACTGACAGACACACAGAAATACTTGCAGGCAGAAAGACAGACAGACAGGCAGGCGTGTGTGTGATGTCACACGAGACGACCAACATGTTACCCACGACGAACGACGACTGACCACAAACCAATCAATGTCCGAGTGCGTACCACGCGTGTCGATCTAACGATCGATCGATGGATCGAGCACCCCTCCCTCTCTCTCCCCTTCGGTCCCCATTCGCCATGCGCACACATTCAGCCACATACACATACACATGCACTGCTGCACGCAGAGGGCCGCCTTGGCTGCAATACACTTCCCTCACCCTCGCACTTGCACTTGCACTTGCACTTGTGTCGCCACAACGCGACACATACATTGATATGGGCAGTGAGTGAGTGAGTGAGTGAGGAGTGAGGAGGGCAAGGCAGCGGGCAAAAGCATTAGAGCCACATACACGCATCCATCCATCCATCCAGGCATCAAAATCATGCACGCACTCACAGGATCTCCATCGATCCGCGCCGATTGAAAAATGCACATAGCAACACAACAAGCACCCACTCCCCCCAGTCCTGGTCTATCTAGATGACCCCACTGCGGATCTCCCGCCGGCCGCTGCTCGCCGTCAGCTTGCTCATGACGCCACCACTCGCCGCGTATCTGCTGCTGTAGACCGTCTTCCGTGTCACCAGAGTGTCGCTCTTGCACACAGTCGACTGGGGGAGGGAGAGGGACAAAGCCTCGGCGGATGGGTCAGAGTGGCACCTGGCGCCCTCCATGACATGGCCGGCGCTGGCGCTGATGACCCCGCTAGGCACGCGTGTGGTGCTGTTGCTGAGGGTCGAGTCGCTGCGGGGCTTCTCGTCGTATGTATATGCATAGCCATTAGTGGCGGCCGTTGTCTCCTCGTTGGAGATGTCCCGCAGGGGGGAGATGGTCTTGGCTGTGGGGCAGGGGGTGGCCGCATCGGGCGACACTGTCACCGACGGGCAGCTGGGCGGGGGCGGGCAGTCGTCTTGGTCTATGAGTCCGGACACCCTCACACAAAGACCACCACCACCACCCGCCCGGCACCCACCACCACCACCACCCCCCGCAGAATGGTCACGAGCAGCAGCATCGACCCGCCATGACGCAATCTCCTGCAGCAGGGGGCCGGTAACCTCTGCGGGCAACGTTGAGGGGCTCTTGAGCTCTGCCGACGTCGAGACAGCCGGCCGCCGCTCATCGGATGGCGTCCTGTCTCGATCTCTGTCTGGGCCGCAATGCGGCTGTGTGGGCGAGCACTCCTCAGCCACGGGCGGGATGCTCTCGTAGGTCGAACGGGACACAATCTTGCACACGGCGGGGTCACTATCGCCGTCTGCCGTGTCTGATGCTGCTGGCTGTTGGCCCTCTGCACTACTGTCGGTGGCTGGTGTGGTGGTGGTGCCTGTGTCCGTCGTCTGCGGATGGGATGCTGCTGCTGCTGCTGACGATGCCTTGCTGGTGGCGGTGGTGGTGGTGGCGGCTGTGAGAGCGGGGAAGATCTTGTCAGGGTGGGGGAGGGGAGTGAGGGTGAGGAGGTGGGTGAACTGGATGTCGGCTATGCTGTAAGCCTGCAGACAGACAGACAGACAGACAGAGGAGGGCGTGTAATATAATCCATGTGTGCATATGATGATGTGTGTCGAGAAGAGGCCTTACCGGGCATTGGCATCCCCACTGCTGCGCCACGAACTTGACGGAAGCCGTCGCATCAACCTGATAGGGAATAAGAGATGAGGACCTCACGGTTTCTCCTCTCTGTGTGCTGGCGTGGCAGCCCTACCAGGCATCTGATGATACACGTCTGCTCCTGATCCTCAGAGGCGCACATCTGCAGACACCTACACACACGCCGCACACAACACAATACAACACAGCACAAGACCATCCATCCATCCATCAACTCATCCACCGATCCACTTATCTGCGTGTGTGTATGTCTGTCTATCTGTCTGTCTGTCTGTCTGCCTGTCCATGTGTGTGTCTGCATGCTGTGTGTACGTACCTCTTGACAGCCTTGAGAGGGTAGAGGACCATGGCGAAGTGGCGCCGCTCCACGGGATCGAACTTGGGACGCAGGAAACAACTCCGCATGTACATCCCTGACCATGACCAACCGATCGGCCGACCGATGCATACCAACACACACACACATAATATATGCCGTCTGCCGTCTGCTGCAGTAAGCACGCACATACCTGGCGTGACGGTGTACGAGTGGTGCATGCGATAGAGCACCAGCACCCCCGACGACGTCATGCTGCCGCTGAACTCCACGTCGCTCTCGCTCCGCCCGTTGAGCAGAACCCCACGGCTGCTGCTGCTGCCGTTCCCGTTGCCATTGCCAATGGCGTTGCGCGGGCTGGACATGCACGAAGGCGGGCTGGCGGGTGAGCTGGAGGGGTGGAGGGTGGCCGCGGCCGCCACCTTCTTGGGGATGATGCGACGCTTGCGGCGGGGGGCCTCCTTGGGTAGACTCGACTGACGATGGATGGATGGATGGATGGATGGATGACACACAGCACACATTTGTCGGTGGATGGATGGATGGCTGGAGGTGGGGCTGCTTACCTCTGATGAGAAGACGAGCACGGAGTTGGTGGTGTTTTTGAGCGGCATGCGAGACATCGACTCGGCAGACAACTCCCGATCTATCAACTCGGGCCGCCTGACAGACACATGAATGAATGACACACCATGGTACACCCAGACACAAACAAGACACACAGTGCCATACACACACACAGAAATGTCATTCCCCGCATAGATCTCCCTCTCCCACATCATTCTGAACCGTTTGCAGCCCCACCGTACGCAACGCCCACCCACCTATTCTTGGTCAGCAGCGGTGTCCGAAAGACCAGCGTCCAGAGTGTCTCCATCGGGTCACACACACCAAATGCGAGAGCCTTCTGCCGCTCCCTCCACTCGGCAATGCAATCGACGAGGCGCTTTCGAGGCCGACAAGGCCGCAGCCGGATCTGCGGTGCTGACAGGGACGGCACTGGCAGGCACTCGGACAGCGAACTGATGTCAGCACATAGCTGCGGCTCCTTCTTGATGATGCGGGGAGGCATCCAACGACTCAGGCACGCGGAGGGGATACGCAAGCCGCATCCGAGCGGCGAGGGAAAAGGCAGGGATCGGCAAGTGCGAGCTTGGAGACCACTGAGTGGCGCTTCTTCCTTTCCTCCCCTTTGCCGAGGTCCTTGGAACCTTCATCTATCCCTGCAAAGTCAGATCTGCCCCAGATCTGCGCGCGTGATGCGGTCTTCTTTCATCGGCCTCCAGCTCGGCATCGCATTGCTGTCAACGGTGCTCCGGGAGGCTCTCGGCCGCATGCTCGACGCACCGAGGAGCTTTCTGTGGCGTGACGCTTTCATCACCGCTATGCCCAACGGTGGGCGGCGCAGCAGCAAGATGAATCTTCTGACGAGGCTGAATGCGCGAGGGCGAGGCCTGCTGGACCCCAAACGCCTTCAAATCATGCAGGGTAAGTCAGCTGACATCCATCATTCTTGAGTGTTGGTGTGTCGTGAATGCAGGTCGGCTTGGCCGCGACATAATGGATTCCTTGTCTGACATCTTTCTGCGTGGCGGGCCTTCGAGGGCGGGCTTTGCGGACGAGGCGGTGCTCTCGGGCACGTCTATCGTCGATGTGACGGTTGCCAGGGACCTGCGGCACGCCACTGTCTATGTGTCGATAATGGGTGACACCTTCGACAAGCGGCAGGGGTTCGCGTGGCTGCAGCGGAACGTCAAGGGCATCCGGTGGGCCATGGCGCAGCGAATGAGGAGGCGCAAAGCCATCCCTTTCCTCAAATTCGAGCTGGTCAGAGAGTGAGTAGTCAGTCAACAAACGCATCAATCAATAGCACTGGCCGTTGATGATCCGTGTGGCATTGGTGTTGCGTGTGTGTGTGTGTGTGTGTAGGTTGATGTGGGTGCGCAGGTGGAAATGATGAACAGCGTGCTTGAGGATATCGAGGAGCGGGAGGGAAGGGGCGCGTTGAGTGGCGAAGAGCTCGTATTCGACTTCAGCGACGACGTTGATGAGGAGACTGAGTCAGGTCAGCAACCAGTGGCGGAGAGCGACGCCGAGCGATACGCTGAGGAGGACTCGCTGATGGTGCGCGAGAGGGAGAGGCGGAAAGACATGAGGCCCATGGCCGACGCCGGATACATTGAATGGTGGGCGTCACGATACAGCACACAACATCTAAGACAACAGACAGTCATGTGTATGTGTGTCTGTGTGTGGGCCCTGTATCTATCCGTTTGTCTGTCAGGTGGTCGTTGGACGAGCTGCGAGAAGCAGCGGCAATGGCAGACAGACAGCAACAGGGAGGGGGCCGTGACACTGCGGCAGAACGGCATGAGGCATCAAGGAAGGCGCAAAAAGGAGGCGACACTTAGCGGTGTGCGTGCCTTGTCATGACTGACTGACTTGAGACAGAGAGACCGTCTTTCTGCATGACAGACTAAGCGTGATTTGACCGGGCTGAATCGGTTCTTATGGTCACACTGAGATACCAAGATGCAGCCCTGTTCCAGAGTGTGTGGTGCAGTGGCTATGTCTGTATTGCTGAAATGGCTGAGGCGGAGAGGGAGGGGATGGACCGAGCAGTAACTAACGTAGAGCAAGAGTCTCTCTCTCTCTCTCTCTGTGTGTGTGTGTGTGTGTCTGTGTCTGTGTCTGTGTGTGTGTGCAGATGGGTCAACGGTGCAGCAGCGGCAGGCTGGCGGCGACACCGCGCATTCGAGGCGGCAAAGGTCGGTCAGTGTCGGTCTGGAGGGGTCGGTCTGGCCGACTGCTCCTCTGTGCGGCGGCTGTGTGACCCGCTGTCACGAAGATGCGAACAGCAGGTCGGTGAGTGAGGGGGAGGGAGACCCACGAAGCATATGTGGCGTGCATTGAGACTGCATTGTTGCCGCCTGTCTCTGTGTTCGTGTCAGCTTCTGCAGCAGAAGTCGGATCTCCCGGATTGGCTGCTCTTCCGACTGGCGCTTTCCGCAGTACATCGGCCGCAGCTCAACATATCTGCTGACGTCGCGGCATCGCTGGCAGACGAGAGGCGTCGGCGGATGGCCGACACGGCCAGCAGCACGGCCGATTTGCTGGCCTCGAGCGATACTGCTGGTGACGATGGTGGTGACGGTGAGCGGTCGTCGTTGGTGGGTGTTGCGTGGGCCTGGCAGGAGGCCTCACACGAGGGAGAGGGAGAGGGAGGGGGGGATGGGGAGGAGGTGGGAGAGCAGGGCAGGGTGGCTTTGCGGCAGGAGCAAGAGGGCGGATGAAGCTGTCTGTCTGTCTGTCTGTCATGTATCGTTGGCTGTCTTGTATGTGTCTCTATGGCCCGGATGCATGTGTGTCGCTCTGATGTTCTTTGTGTTCATCATGACTGACATTCCATTGAGATGAACGACGTTCGTATGCACACACACGTTCACATACGCAGAAAAGAGAGAGAGAGAGTCTTCAAAACTGTCGGCCATCCATCCCATGCCATGGGCGAGATACAGAGAGTGTCGCAGGGGGATAGGATGGAGGACGGCGAGCACCAAATCCCTGTCTGTGCCTTATCTATCGGGCAGGCAGGCACTGTCAGAAGGGATCAGACCACCATCCATCCATCCATCGGCGCATGCACAGCCGCGCGCCACGCACGTATGAACACATTGGTCGATCATCCACCGCATGTGCCAGCGGAGGGATCGATACAGACAGACAAACGTATACACACAACACCGAAGACAGAGTCTCACGGTGAGATAGAGATAGAGGAGGGGTGGTCATATGACCCACTCCGGCGTGTCGTGTCACTCAGCGGGCAGCGAGTCAGGCAGTCACGTCCCAATTGCTCTCACACAGGGGCTGCTCAGTGCGGCTGTTCTTCCTGGCCTGCCTCTCGAGCGATGATTGGCTGCCGGATGAGAGGCGGCGGGCATACGCCATCACGGGCAAGCCTCTGAAAGTCCTGCAGATGCATCATCGTCAAAAGTGGGATCTGACATCATCTTCCTTCAGCGTTGCTTGCATCTCGCTGGCTTACTGACCTCGAAATCCATACAGACTGGTGTAGCACCATCCCGCCGCATGAGCGATGCATTCGGATAGTGCTCTCCCTGGCCATCCGCGCCACGGCACTCCTGAACGAATCACATGCATCAGGATCAAAAGTGGCTGGCTCTTCTGTGTGTCTGATTTCTGTACCTGGCTCTTGAGTGTGGCGATCTCCTCCCGGAGTCGCTCATTCTCGGCTTCCAGACGATGCCGCTCGGCCGCCTCCTGCACACACAGCAAAGTCACATAGACACAGACGGACCGACAGAGGGGCCGGCATACGTGGGGGAAGGACAGGTGAGTTTGGCTGCGGCAGGGTGGCTGACTGACCTTCTTAATGCGCCTGGTCTCTCTGTCGATGAATTGCTTGTAGAGGTAGTCAAAGGCTTCTTCGTCGTCATTCTGATCGTCGACCGCCTCCTTGAGGGCATTCCTGAAGGCCGTCTGGATGGCTGACGGGAGGAGGGGCACCACTGGAAGGACTGCTGAGCACATCGCTGATGTCAAAGTGAGACTCGAGGCCGGATATGATGTAGTCAACAGCTTGCCCAGAGAGGCCGTCGATGGCCGCCGCCCAATACAGCATCAGTGGAAGGCGGTGAAATCGCGTGAGAGCCATGTCGCCGACCAGGTACTTGGCAACCTCACGATGAGCGACCTGCACACACACAGACGATCACAGAGAGAGAGAGAGAGAGAGAGAAGAACACGCATTTTTTGTGAGCAGGTGGTCATCTGCCCACTCACTTGGCCATCCGGGAGATATCCTCATAGCAGCCCTCGATGACACACATCCGCAGATAATGCAGAGCCAGAACACGCAGCGGAAAGTGGCGAACCGTCATCTGCAGCACGACATCCTTGAGACGGATGTCCACCAGCCCCTGCTTCGCCAGCGCATCGGCACCAATAATGCGGACGTTGACAGAAATCCATGTGCGCTGTCCCAGTAGCTTTGAGCCAAACGACCTAACCGAGGCGCCAGCCGATGCCTCCTCGCCCATGCGGATCTCGTACATGTCCATCAGCGTCAGGCTCTCATGCAGCCGGATCGCGGGGCGTGTGGCGTCGGAATCGCCGTGAGGATGAGCCACCTCCAGAGAGCCATCAGGCGCATAGCATGACACGAAAGACTCCCCCTCAGCTCGCCTTCCACCGAGTGGGTCGAACTTGACATGCCAGCCCGCCACCTCCGTCAGCTTCGCATCGCCGTCGCGGATGGCATTGGCTGGCAGATCGCTGCCTGTGTGAGGGGCGTAGGGAGGGGGAAGACCCGCCACGTTGACAGCGAAGCCTATACATTCGACAGTTCCCCCCTGCTCGTCGGCAAATGGCCGCACCGTCGCCGTAGAACAAGATGAGAATTCGTCGGACTCGAAAATGGCCGCTGAGATAGACAGCGCAACAACACACCGACCACAGACAAGTAGTGAGTGACGGCAGCCCCTTCCTGTTTAGTCCTCTGTTGTTCCCTACCATGTGCAGCCGACAGTGACGTTGAGCCCGTCGCATTCGTCATGAATCGGGCCAGTTCTTGACGCGACACGTCGACTGGATCATACGACATGGCGTCTCCCAGGCTGGCCACTAGACTCACCACTGCCTTGACGGCGTCATCCACGGCCTCGCCGCTCTCGCGTCGCCGCCACTGGTCACGGATGACGTCAGGATTCTTGCGCAGGAATGGACGGACCGCTGCGCAAATGTCGGGGTGGCAGTGGACGAATCGGGCGATGAATGGGTAGCGGGCGAAGCTGTCCAGCAGACATGTGGCCAGCTAGTGGTCGGCAAGCCATCCCTCAATCACAACCTGACACACGACAAGGTGCATCAACAAAGAAGTGACGTACAGAGTTCTTTGACCGTCCTCGTTTCTCTGTTCCCCATTGCTCACCTTGCGATGGATGCGCCACAGGAGGCTCTTGTTGCTGCCGGTCGTGAAGATCTGGTCCGTGTTGAAGTGCAGGTAGTCGAGAGCGATCAACGCATCCAGCAAAATGTCCTTGGTCAGCGAATTGACGATGTCCACCTCCTGCTGCAGCACCACCTCACCGATGGGCCGGCTGATTTTCTCGATGCACACCTGACGCTCCTGGCCCTCCTGAAACTCGCCGTCCATCACCTGCACCCACACGCAGACGACACACATTGTATGCATGTCGCGTGTCTGTCATCTCTGCCGTGTGTGCTATCACCGTAGTCAAGTATCTAAATTGCCGTATGACGCCCTCCTTTATGACGAGCGGCGCGTCGCCCTCCCCATCGCCAGCGAACCGCACACTCACAGACGGCTCCATAACACCACTCATCGCAGCAGAAGGACGACAGCAGACACCGAGGAGGCGACGGCAGCACCCTCGACGAGAGCAGAGCACCCCACGTCGGAGATGCGCCGCAACGGAACAAACACAGATCCTTCCAATCTCTCTCCTTTTCAGTCAGGCGACGATCAGAAGGCTTGTGCTGGTGCCCACTCCTGTGTACGCCGCCTCGAGGTTGAGATCTCTCCTCTCCTGTCCTGATGCAAGCTGAGCTCGCAGCGTTTGAGATCCCGTTTCTTCCCGGAGGGCTTCGACAGCCCCTCTGGCCCTTGTTGTGCTCATTGCCTTCGCCGCCCGCCGTTTCCTCGCGCGCTGATTCATCCCGTGAAGGTGTGATCCAATTGGTGTGATCTCTGAAGCTACTTGCCAGCAGAGGTGTGTAGGAGGAAACAGGCAGCACTGAATCACACGGTTGCATCAGATTCACACGTACACGTCCTGTGCCTGTTTGTCTGTTTGTCTGTTTGTCTGTTTGTCTGTTTGTCTGTTTGTCTGTGTGTGCCTGTCTGTCTGTCAGATGATGGTTGACTTGCTCAAGTGGCTGTGTTGTCTGTGTGTCATCGGTGTGGTCATCGTCTGTCTGTTTGCCGAAGGAAGGAGGGTGAGCACTGCGGCCTGTCTGTTGCCTGCATCTGTGTAGCCATCACATCTCTCCCTTGTGTCTGTGTGTGTGCAAATGCCCGTCGACCGACGACCTGCTGAATGAATGAAGTGGCTGCATCGCCATCTCTGGCTGCCACTGCTCATTCACACGGGACTCATCGGAGACCTTGACAGGTGGGAGTGGAGAGCAAGCTTCAAGTGGAGCACGCTGCAGGAGGCCACAGAGTCGGCCAAGCGGCTCAGAGAGGATATCCCACACCTGGAGCAGGAGCTTGCCAGAGTTGCGGTATACGAGGAGAAATCCCGCGTCCGCTTGGAGAAGAATCCGGACAACGGGGTTCAACAGATAGGATACAACTTCTGGTCAGAGGACCACGAATTCCTCCGCGGCCGCTTGCAAGAGTGCCAGGAGATGCTCTTCAGGGCGGAGTACGTCATCTAGGAATTCACTCGGGCGAATCAGACGGGTGCGCAAGGACGACACACAACACACACAGACAGAGAGAGAGGGATGTGCACACGTGGGGCTTTCGTTGCTCTACTTACTTTCAGCTCCAGAAGTGACCGCCCATCCGGCAGCTGCGGAAGTGACCTCCCGTCCGGAAGCAGCGCAGCAGGTGACAAAAACTGTGCAGGTGGACCTCCCTCTTCCGCCAAGGTCATCGCTTTGCCGGAGTCGGTCTTGCCCAGCAGTCACGGCTGCTGCAGGTAAAAGCCTGCCATGACTGGCCTGTATGTCTGTGGCTCATGGTCGACTCACTCGTGCTGTCTGATCGTTTAGATGACCGGATGCCTCCCCGTGGCGTCAATGACGACACGGACGCGCCCCTGTCACCACCAGAGCCGAGGATGATACAAGCAGTGGTGATGGGAGCGGCCCCAGTTGTCGCAGAGACTTTGCGGCTGCGGCTGCGGCAGGGCCCGGCAGCAGCAGCCGGTCTGAGCTCCGTCGACTGACTGACCGGCAGTCAGTAGAGCACTCGCTACACACGTTGCCTGCCGTCGTTAATTTTCGACTGACTCAGTTTTTTGGGCGTCTTTCATTTCTTTCCGTGGTGTCGGGTTTGGTGCTGCTGTGATGTGATATTCGTGTGTCGCTGTGCTGACTGTGTGCTCACTGATGGACACCTTACACAGTGAGTGTTGATCGTCACTCTCTGTGTGCGGTGGCCATCGAGCGGCTGACAGACACACACTCACACACACACACACACAACGGAATGGCCAGGCCACTCGTCGGTGTGCAGACTATACCATTGCCGGCCAAGTCATTATGACAGTCAATGCGCTCCCCTGACTGACGCCCACAATTTGGCCCATCCGGCCGTCCAGCAGCGCCATAACTAAGGCGGCCCCATTGCACTGCATCGGTCTCACATCAGTGGCTAAACCGTCGCCGGCTGAGAAATGGCCAATGGCGGACAGAGGAACGATCTCATGTGTGTCTGTGTGTGTGAGACAGAGAACGACACAGAGAGAGACATCCACTGGTTGTCTGTCTGTGTGATCTGCTTGGCTGGCCGTGTGTGTGGCCGTCTTGGGGTTTGTTTGGATTCGTTTCGGTCTGTCTGTGTCGACTGTTTCTGTCGGTCTGTCTGTGCGGGGCATACGGACGGAGAGGGAGTCAGAGAGTGTGGCGGGGCCATCAGCTGGGGACACACACACAGACAGACAGAGAGATCAACACAGCGGGTACATTGAGTCGATGATATCAGTGAGTCAGTCTCTTTGGGCCTCAGAGGCGATGGAAGGGATACATAGGAAGCTGTGCACACAGACAGGTCGTGCGGCATAGACACACAAAGACATCCGAAGAGCCCTCCTGTCCATGGGAATGTCTGTGCAGCGTGGGATGGGGAGAAGACAGCAATCATAAGACAGGCACCTCACACACACACACACACATCCTCCCCCTCCCTCTGTCACTGACCTGCCGCCCTCATGCCCCGCCCGCGTCGAGAAGCGGATGCACCCCAAACAGACACTCACTGCCCGCCCACGTGCAGCACCTCTAACTCATCGGCATGAAAACAGACCGAGCCGCCCAGCAGAGCATGGCCATCGCTATTCCTCTCCCCCACATAGCCCGCAGTCAAAAGGTCCCTGTCGGTGAGCTGTGCACAGCTGCGGATGTCGGCAGCCGGGCTGCCATTGCCACGGCCGTCACCCAACAACAGGTCCCCACCGAACACCACATTCGCACCCCACGCACTGCGCCCCCTTTCCGCCACTATCACATACTGCACCGGTCGGTCGACGTCTATCTTGGTGGGCTTAGGGAAGTGGCCGGCCAGCGAGAAATACCACACGTCACACTCGTACCAGTTGATGTCGGTGGGGTCGTCGGGCAGCTCCAGACCGGCACTAATGAAGGCGCCGAAAACGTACTGGTTCTTGCGGATGATGAAGGCCAGGCCGGTCTTGTCGCCGACACACCGCAGCAGATCGCCGTAAGTGGTGCCGTCACGCGACGCCCTGATGCACACACACATCAGTGACACAGCAGAAGGCCATATGTGTGTGTGTGTGTGTGCGTTTGTCTGTGTGTGTACCTGTAAATGAGTGTCAGTGATGTGTGGCCCCCCAGCCACTTGGCGATGTGCGCCACATACGACAGGCCGACGGAGCTGCCAATGGGCCAGCAGGGACGGCCAGCGACGAATGACACACCCCGAGGGCCATGCGCCCACGCGAAGGCGGCCCTACACCAACACACACACACAGAGGGGAGGGCCATACAGGGGTGTGTGTGTGTGTGTCTGTGTCTGTGTGTGAGTGTTTACCTGCAGATGGGGCAGATGTCGCCGGGGTGTCCGTATCTAATGCGCTGCACCACACACTGAAGGAGAGAGAGGACACACAGATGAGTGACTGGCTCCACCGCCGTCCATCGCCACACTCACACACAGAGATCGTCCTGGATGCTCACCTCTGCACACACCGAATGGCCTGAAGGGACACAGAGGGCACACCACCACACCAGATGCCTTAGCCTGTCCGTCAAATGGTGTGCTGCTCACCGTCCACTCTGAGTACGCTGCCACTGTTCTCCTTCCCACATCGGCCGCTGCACTTGGCCGACACTGTTGTCGATGGCGATGCTCCGCCAGGGAGGCCGTACTTGCGATTGTTGATGCACTGCCAGTGGAACTGGTGACCTGCACCCACACAGACACACAGACAGAGATCAAACATGCCTTCACTGGATGGATGGATGTGGCGGCTCACTGACTGACCACATGGCGTCTTGTTGGCCGACGATGAGCTACCAGCAGCAGCAGCGGCAGCAGCAGCGGCAGATGGGGAGGCCGCCATCAACGAACCAACACGGCTGCAGTGACTGATGAGCCGACAACACACACAGAGAGATGCACACAGACAAAGAAGGTCAACGCATTGAGGTGACTGAAAGGGTCAGTGAGTGTGTGGCCTCCCTCTCACCTTTGCTGTCTGTCAGCTCAGCGGCCCGCCATGCCACCACACCAGTCGACAGGGCGGCGGTGTGACGGATGGCTCCACTGATTCGCTAAGCCGCTCTCTCAGCCGAATGCGCCGCACTCCCAACGCACAGCTGTCCGAAAGGCACACGGACGGCCGCCAACACGTCAACACAGGTAGGGTTCAGGGCAAGAAACCCCACCCTATAACCCCTCAAACCCTCCGGCTCGCCCCTTTGTCGGCGCCCTGCCCCACCCCGGGTCTGCCAATTGGCTCCTTGTCAGCCTTGCTCACGGCCCACTGCACGAGATCTGTCAGCTGTCCCCTCTCTGTCGGCACACAGGCGGCTGCTGGCGGCACAGGTGGACGTCATGCACACGGCGGGCGCGTGACACGCCGAAATGATGCATGTGCTGTCTGGACGGTTGGTGCCTGGATCTGTGAGTGGTGTGCTGCAGACGTCGTGCGGTGTGTGAGTGCAGCGGTGTGACGAAGGAGTGAGGGCACTCCACCAACTGGTACGCAGAGACAGATGGGCACACACACAGCGGGACAGGCGGGACTCACACGCACAGATGTCTCCTCTCTCTGTGTGGCGTGTGTCATCTGAGCGGCTGCAGGTGGCTGACGGCGATGATATGTGCTGGAGGGAGATAGATCGGCCGATGAGTCGACGAGCTGATATGAGTGAACTGACTGTCTGTCTCTCTGCCGCGTGGACTTCATCGATGGACTGACGGCTGTCGTGTTTATGAGAGTGTTTTGTGTTGTGGGGCTTTGCGTGTCGGTCGGTCTGGCTGCCATTGTCATTCCTTCTCCGGCATCCACTCGTCAGCCGTCAGCTGCCATGAGTGTGTCGGCTGATGAGTGGGGGGCGGGGGAGAGATGACAGACAGACAGACAGACAGACAGACAGAGAGGGAGGATTGGCTGGCTGGCTGCACAAAGGAATCGCTGTGTGGGGTGGCGGGGGCCGTCTGTCTGTGAGCTGGCGGTGGGTGACAGGTGTTCGCGAGAGTGTGTTGATCTCTCGTCGATGCATCCGTCACACACGGCCGGCTCACAGACAGACAGGCCGACACACACACACACACTGATCTGCCTGAGAGAGAGAGAGAGAGAGTTTCGGTTTTCCCTCGTGTGTGTCCTTCCCCCTCTCCCTGTGGGCATCTTTGTTGCCGCTCGGGAACGCGAGAGCGTCAGCCCGTGAAGGGTGTTGGTGCTTTGGGGTTGCCGGGCGGTGATAGAGATGCGCACAGGGGGGCGGGCGAGGGAATGAATGGACACACACGACTGCTGACCCATCACGCCGACACGGCAGTAGCTATTTGGGCCGCATAGCTGCAGGCTGAAAATGTCGTGTGGCGAGAAGGGATGTTGCTGCCGCCATGATGACCGTGCTGTGTATATCTTGTCGCTCTGTCACTCGCTGTCTGTTGGACACATAGAGGTCTGTGTGTACGGTTCGTGTCTTGTACAGTGTGCTGATGCTGCTACTGCTGCTGCTGCTGCTGTGGTGCTGTCTGTCTGTGTGTTGGTGATGTCACTGGTGCGGCTGTATTTTACGCCATTTGAGCTCTTCTGCGGGCTGGTGCTGTGTGCAACAGAGGGAGAGGACGGGATAGGGTGTGTTCCCTGTCTGATGCAGTGGGTGCCTTGTCTCTCTGTCTGCACGCCCGCCCTTCCACAACGGATGCCACACAGATCGGTCGGTCCATCCAGCCACTCATTCATTCTTTCACCCACAAACACACGTGACTCGATCGAATCGATCGCTCATCCGTCGTTCAGCTCTAGGGTGTCTGTCTGTGTCTTTTTGGTGCCTCCATTGCCATAGCTGTCATATGAATGATCGAGATCCTCCTACCCGTTTGGATGTGCACACCGTGCGTGCCCTCACCGCCATGATTTTTCTTGTCCCCGTGGGGTCACCCACACCCACACCCCCCCACACCCACTCACTGCCCTCTTCCATCTCGTCTCGTCTCATGTCGCGGTCGTGACGTCTTCATCGAGTCGCCGTGGTGAAATCAGTCCGTCAAGTGAGAAAGCGAGAATTCGGCTCGAGTGGACACCTGACGTCTGTTTGGTGCTGCTGTGGTGTGATGTTTGTGAGTGGTGTGCTGGCTGTCTGCTGTGGGATGGAGAGAGAGGGTGTGTGTTCGTGTGCTGATCTTTCTGTCGCACTGGCTGGACACCACACACATTGACTCTTTGGTGCCTTCTGTGTTGTGTTGTATCGTGTGTGTTCTCCCCTGTCTCTCTGTGAGCATCTAAGATCCCGCCCGGCAACGAGAGAGCATCAGCTCACGAAGGGTGTTGGTGCTTTAGGGTTGCAGGGCGGTGACAGAGATGCGCACAGAGGGGCGGGCGAGGGAATGGACACACACGACTGCTTACCCCTCACACCGAATGAGGCATTGGTTGTGTCTTCTTGCCATCACACCAACTCGTGTTGACGGATTGACGCAGTCTGCGTGGGAAGGAGAGAGAGAGATATGGGACAGAGAGTGAGAGAAGAAGGTCAGTCTCGTTTGGTGTGCCTGCCATTCGGTCCGCTGTTTGGCTGCCTGTTGGTGTGTCAGTCATGGTGCACTCGGCTGTGAGTCATGTGTGTTCTCTCTGTCTGTGTGACTGAGTGGTGGGGATGATGTGCTGGAGGGAGAGAGATCGGCCGATGCGCCGACCCCTGCTGTCCAATGAGTACTGACTGCCTGGCCTTAGCTGACATCTCTCTGCCTGTCCCTTTGTTTCTCTCTCGTGGCCCTTTTGCGTGTGGGTGTCGGTCGTCGACTGACGGACGACAGACAGCGGGACAACACAGAGAGCTCATTATGCGGCGGTGTGCGGCGGTCTGATGATGGGCTTTGGTGTCTGCGAGCAATGGTACACCGACAGACACACAGAGAGGGAGGGACACACAGACGGACACACAGAGAGGGGCGGCCGATGACGTCTGTGTGTGTGTGTGTCAGCTGTGGTTGGTGTGCTGATTCACTCGCTGGAACAAAGCCAGACGACGGCCGAGCGGCTGCCGCTGTGAGATCGGCCGATAAGTCGACGAGCTGATGTGAGTGAACTGACTGTCTGTCTCTCTGCCGCGTGGACGGCATCGATGGACTGACGGCTGTCGTGTTTATGAGAGTGTATTGTGTTGTGTTGTGGGGCTTTGCGTGTCGGTCGGTCTGGCTGCCATTGTCATTGGTCCTCGGCGTCTCACCCATCAGCCGTGTGCTGCCATGAGTGTGTCGGCTGGTGAGTGGGGGGCGGGGGAGAGATGACAGACAGACAGACAGACAGAGAGGGAGGATTGGCTAGCTGCACAAAGGAATCGCTGTGTGGGGTGGCGGTGGCCGTCTGTCTGTCATCATGCCTTGTGTGACGCATGGTCGCGAGAGTGTGTTGGTCTCTCGTCGATGCATCCGTCACACACGGCCGGCTGACAGACAGAAAGGCCGACACACACACACACTGATCTGCGTGTCACTTCGTCCGAGAGAGAGTGTGTTCTGTCCGTGTGTGTCCCCTCTCTCTCTGTGGGCATCTAAGTCCACCTGGCAACTTAAGAGCGTCAGCCCACGAAGGGTGTTGGTGCTTTGGGGTTGCCGGGCGGTGACAGAGATGCGCACAGAGGGGCGGGCGAGGGAATGGACACACACACGACTGCTGACCCATCTCACACACGCGATGAGAGAGAGAGAGAGCGCGATGTGTTTGCCTGTTTCTTTGCCTGCCTGCCAGTGTGTCGTGATGGACACACTTGTGAGTCATGTGAGGCTTTTCACTCCATTTATCGATTTGTCGATACGCACACACAATGGATGGATGGATGGATGGAACGATCTGTGCCTTTCGCTGTGTGAGTGGCGGGGAGAGGGAGAGATGGGACGGAGACACTTGTTTGGTGCTGCCTGCGTGTGTGCTGTGCTGGCTGTCTGCTGTCTTAGAGTCTTCTCGCACATTGAGTGTTGATTATCACTCTGTGTGTGATGGTTATCGAACGGCTGACAGGCACACACACACACACACACAGGAAAGTAACAGAGAGCTGCTTTTAGTGTGGTCACTCATTCCATCGATGGCTGGCCGACTACTGACGGTGTGAGTTACTTGGTGATGTGTGTAGCTTTTGATTGATTGACTGAGTGGCTGACATGTCCGCTGCGTTGAGGGGCGCTGAGTGGTGTGGGCAGTGAGCACACAGACAATGAGATGAGACTCTCACACACAGAGATGGATGTGTGTGGGGTGTGTTGTATGGGTGAGTGAATGAGTGGCTGTGTTCGATGAGGGACGGGTGGGCAAGACATCGACACACAGATGTGATGAGCTTTGCATGGCGAGTCCACTGACGGACAAAGGGGATTGATGTGCATACCCTCTTGTGGTGCCGTCAAACCATTCAGCCAGTCAGTCCATCCCATTATATCCACACACCACACACACCACAATGCAGCGACTTGAACAAATGAAGTAACTGCATTTCCCCCCAAATCGTCTTATCCCCTCTGTCACACCCCATGCGGCATGCACTAGGTGTGTTTACGTGAGGCACACAAAAGCCAATCGGACCTCCGTAAAGCACTCATCTCATCGCACGCCAAATCGAAACATTTCCCCTTCCTCACCGACTATTCCCCATCACGTGAAGCACCTCAATCTCATCCGCATGGAAATACGCCGACCCGCCCAGAAAAGCATCGCCATCGCTATTCCTCACCCCCGTACCGCCATCATTATCCCTCGCCCCCGTATAGCCCGCAGGCAGGTTGCGCTGCCAGGTGAACTGATAGCAGCTGCGGATGTCGGCAGCTGGCCGGCCACTGTCCTCGTCGACACCCAACAACAGGTACCGACCGATCATCACTTTCGCATCCAGAAGCAAAGTCCCCTCCCTCCCCGCCACCCGCACCCGCTGAGAAACTCGGCTGATCTCGATCTTGGTGGGCTCGGGGAAGTGGCCGGCCAGCGAGAAATGCCACAGGTCACAGTCGTACCCGTTGTAGTCGGTGGGGTCGTCGGGCAGCTCCAGACCACAATTGATGAAGGCGCCGAAGACGTACTGGTCCTTTCTGATGACAAACACGAGAGGCTCTGCGTCGCCCACACTGTCCAGCAGATCATCGTAGGTGGTGCCATGCACAGACGTCCTACGCCACACACACACCCACACACCCACACATCTCTCTCTCTCTCTCTCTCTCTCTCTGGTGTGTGTGTGTGTGTGTGTGTGATTGCCTACCGGTATACTGAGTTGAGTTTTGTGCCATTGTCATTGCCCATCAAGTCGAGCAGCCCCTCATGCTCTGCGGCAGACAGCGACGTGTTGCCAGGAGGGGACACCTGCACTCGACGCAAATTCACCTGGAACACACAAACCAGCCATGAACATCAGAGCATCGAAGGAATGGATCGATGGCCTCCGTGTGCACCTGCTGTCCCTCCGCGCCAACACACGTCAAGCTGAGAGTCATCATCAGCAGCGCACCACACGTGGAGAGCTGTGCCATCGGGTAGCTAGATCTCTCCGCTCAAACTGTTCGAGAGCCCAGCCCCCTTAAGCTCTCACCGCAAATGCCACAGGCAGGCAGCGTCAGCGCAGATTGGAAGCAGCGGCTGCCCTCAGTTGCCAAGGTCCACAGCTGACCGAAGCTGCACAGAAGAAAGCGGTGCGTATTGTGATACCTGGCGGTGCAGGTGATGAACAAGCCAGCGGTGGGTGAGATCAGGGAGGAGAGATCAGACACACTCTCTCCCTCCGGGGCTCATCGCTCGGGTGCTCTCGTTGCAGATCTCTCCACTCAGACTTCTTGTAAAGCTCTCCCCATTGACGCTCCTTGGAGAAGGGCGCTGCGAGCTGGAGGAACAAGCTTTTCCTCTCTCAGCCCTCCCATTCTCTCACGCAATGGTCCTCTGACTCTCACTGGACAATCTCGTGCACCGAAAAGGCGAAATGAATGTGTCAGCTTCGAGAAAAACGGCAATTCGATCGTCACTCGATCACCGACTTCCGCAAATTCGTCTTCTGATTTCTTCACATTGACCGCTCCGCAGTGAGACCATTGACACGACAGACGAGACAAACAGGCAAAAAGAGTGCTGCAAAGGCTGGGGGTCTGGTGGGGGCCTTTCATGGGAGCTGGCAGCCCGTGGGGTTCAGGGTTTCAAACCCTACCCTTGACCCCTCAAACCCTCTGGCCGCCCTGCCCCGCCCCTTGTCGGCAGCCATCCTGACAGCCCACTGCACGAGATCTGTCATCTGCCCTCCCTCCCTGTCTCCCTCCCTCCGGTTCTCTGTTCTCGTGCGCTCGCACCGACACACACGGGGCGACTGATGCACATGACGGGTGCGTGACACGCCGAGGGGATGCGTGGCGCTGCGATGACGGGATGGTGGTGGTTGTCATCTGTCTGTGTGTGTGGTGGGCTGCAGATGTCGTGTGGCGGTGCGGGGCTGCGGTGCCTGGCGACAACACTGCACTCGACCAACTGGTACGCAGAGAGAGGTGGGCACACACACACACACTGGGACACAGGCAGGACTCACACACAAATGTCTGTCTGTTTGTGTGTCCTCAGTGTGTGAGTGTCTGAGTGGCTCTCTGATGGCTTCGCCGCGCTGATGGCGATGATATGTGCTGGAGGGAGAGAGATCGGCCGATGAGCCGACGGACGGGCTGACTGAACTGAACTGAATCCCTCACTGTGTCGCCTTTTGGTCGTATGTGCGTCGATCTCACTGTGTTGTGTTGTGGAGCTTTGCGTGTCGGTCGGTCTGGCTGCCGTTGTCATAACTCAGCGACCTTCTACTCTTCAGCCGTCAGCTGCCATGAGTGTGTCGGCCGATGAGTGGGGGGCGGGGGAGAGATGACAGACAGACAGACAGACAGACAGACAGAGAGGGAGGATTGGCTAGCTGCACAAAGGAATCGCTGTGTGAAGTGGCAGTGGCCGTCTGTCTGTTGATCGGTGGGGTGTGATGGTTGCTCGCGAGAGTGTGTTGATCTCTCGTCGATGCATCCGTCACACACGGCCGGCAGACAGACAGACAGCCCGACACACACACTCTCACACTGATCTGTCTGCCTCAGAGGGAGACAGAGAGAGAGAGAGAGAGTCTTCGCCACTGTTTTTTGTCGGCACCGCCCTACAAGGTGCGGCGACAAGCTGGTGCTTCGGCCGGCAAGGTGGCTGAAGTTTCCACCCAGAGAGCTGGACAGACACTCAAAAAGCCACCCAGCGCCACGGAAAGCTCTCCGCCTGTCGAGTGGATGAGAGAGAGACTGACCTCTCTATGATGTCTTGTATCTGGTACCATGTATTGGTTTTCCTCGTGTGTGTCCCCCCCTCTCTCTGTGGGCATCTTTGTCTCCCGCCGTCAACGCCAGAGCGTCAGCCCATGAAGGGTGTTGGTGCTTTGGGGTTGCCGGGCGGTGACAGAGATGCGCACAGAGGGGCGGGCGAGGGAATGGACACACACACACGACTGCTTACCCATCACACACACGCAATGAGAGAGAGAGAGCGATGTGTTTGCCTGTTTCTTTGCCTGCCTGCCAGTGTGTCGTGATGGACACACTCGTGAGCCATGTGAGGCTTTCACTCCACACACTGGATGGATGGATAAAACGATCTGTGTGTGCCTCGCTCTTACGTATCTCGGCCTTTATGTGCCTTTCGCTGTGTGAGTGGCGGGGAGAGGGAGAGATGGGACGGAGACGCATTGTTTGGTGCTGCCTGCGTGTGTGCTGTGCTGGCTGTCTGTCTGCTGTCCTCGGTGTCCTCGCACAGTGAGTGTTGATTATCACTCTCTGTGTGTGATGGTTATCGAGCGGCCGACAGACACACACATACACACACAAGGGAAAGTAACAGAGAGCTGCCTTTGGTGTGGTCAAAGCCGACTACTGACGGTGTGAGTAACTCGGTGATGTGTGTGGCTCATGATTGACTGAGTGGCTTGCACGGCCGCTGCATTAGGGGGCGCTGACTGGTGTGGGCAGTCAGCAGACGTAAGGTGTCTTGTCTTCTCTCCGCTTCCCTCCTTCGCAAAGACAGACAGAAAAACAGACAGGACCGACGAAATGAGAGCCATCGGTGGGCCGCTGGCTGGAGTGCATAGGTGAATCTCTTCGTGCGTGTCCATGGGTGGATGCATTGAATCGCATCATGACGGATGGCTTCCGGTACATGTTTGCATGAGTGTGACCTTTCTCTGAAGTGAAACCGTATTTATCCATTCACTGCAGCCACAAAACCACACACATCCACGAATGTGAGCACATGAATACACGGACAAGTGTCCTCCTTTGCATATAAATGACAAGGGGTTGGATTCATTGCAGTCAGTCACACGCACATCCACGAGCAACGCACGCATGGATGGATACGCCGCACTCATTCATATGCCGAGCGTATGAATAGAGCTTCCAGCAAACAGGCAAGGCAGTGGAGAGAGAAGAACCTCTCTGAATGCACTTGTTCATGGATCCCATCCACGCAATAAGCAGGCAAGACATGGCAAGCCACGACAGCAGGCAAGCCAACACTCATCATCGCTCACAATGCGCACCGCACGTGGCCGCTGGTAGATGTATGTATGTATGTACGTTTGTATGCTTGTATGTTTGTATGTATACTTGTCGCCGACGTATGTATACATTTGTGTGTACACACGCCGTACCAAACGAATCAGCCGGTTGGCTGGCTGGCTGACTCTCTGTCACTGGTCTGCCTACGGTCAAACAGACCGGCATGACGGCATGGATATAAATATCAATCGAGCCGTCCGACCTTATCCAAGCAGTCAGCCAGAGGCAAGGGAGCAACCGGTCGATACGACACGACACAAAACAAACTGGCAAAAATGATAATTGGTCACGACACGCATCACACGTGGAGGGATGGATGGAGGGATGGATGACGCCTACTATCTATGACTTCATCTCCTGGTCAGCTTCCCCCTCTTGCTGCCGCTGCTGCTGCGGCTGGCCCTCCATCTCATCCCGCGGCCGCTTTGTCCCACGACACTCCTAAACCAGCGAACGAACGACACACAGGCACGCTGGCAATGACTGATGCAAGCTGGCTGAACAAACACCCAACTGACCTGTTTCTTGAGCAGGGCGTTCTCATTTCGAAGACGTTCATTCTCGGCGGCGAGACGATGCCGCTCGGCCGCCTCCTGCGCGGACAAGAGCCACATGGACATAGACAGACCGACAGTGGGCCCGGGATAGGGGATGAAAAGACCAGTGGAGCTGGCTTACCTTCTTGCTGCAAGTGGTGAGCTGGTCGTAGAGCTGGTCGAAGGCCTCCTCATCGTGTGCGTCGACTGCCTTCTTTACGGTATCTTTGAAGGCCGTCTGGATGGCTGATGAAAGCTTGGGCACCACAGGAAGGACGGCCGGCACATCCTTGATGTCAAAGTGACGCTCCAGCCCGGATGAAATACCTTCAGCTCGATGCCGAGAGAGGCCCTCAATGGCCGCCGCCCAATACAGCATCAGTGGAAGGCGATGACGCCCCACCCCCCCCACCCCCCCCATGCTGGTGAGCAGGTACTCAGCGACCTCACGATGAATCGACCTACACACACATAGACGATCACAGAGAGAGAGAGAGAGAGTGAGAGACGTACTGTCTCTGTGCAGGTGCTCATTTCCACTTGCCTGGCCATCATGGAGATCTCCTCACAGCGGCCCTCGATGACGCACATCCGCAGGTAGTGGAGAGCCAGTTCACGCATAGGGAACCGGCGAGCCGTCACCTTGAGCTGAATATCCCTCAGACGAGTATCCCCCAGCCCCTCCTGCGCCAGCGCATCGGCAGAAAGAATGGGGACGTTGCCACATAACCAGAGTGATCCTCCCAGCAGGCTCAAACCAAATGGACCGACAGAGACGCCAGCCGACGCTTCCTCGCCCATTCGGATCGCATTGCAGCTCAGAGTCGGGCTCTCGTGCAATCGGACCATGGGACGGGTGGTATCGGAGTTGCCGTAAGGACCAGCCACCTGCAGGTAGCAATCAGCCGCGTAGCACGACACAAACGACTCCCTGTCGGCTCCGCAAACGACTCGCGGGAAGTTGACGTGCCAGCCCGCCAGATCTGTCAGCTTCGCATCGCTGTCGCGGATAACGTTGGCCGGCAGGTTGTTGGGTGCACAGGGGGCGTAAGGAGGCGGCAGCCCCACCACGTTGAAGCGGAATCCCATACATGTGATGGGTCCTTCATGCTCGCCGGCAAAGGGCCGCACCGTCGCCGTAGAAGGCAATGAGAATTCGTCCGACTCGAAAACAGCCGCTGCAGACATACAAGGCACCAAACCGACCACAACAGAGATTACAGATGTCACTGATGTTAGCCTTCCCGCCAGTTGACCTTCTTACCATGGGCTGTCGAGAGAGATGCCGTGTTTTTCACTGATTTCATGAATCGGGCAAGCTCTTGACGCGACACATCAATTGCGTCATACGAGATGGCGTCGGCCAGGCTAGCCGCCAGGCTCAACGCTGCCTTGGTAGCGTCAGTGTCCTCGCCCATTTCACGACGGCTCCACTGCTCGCTGATGACGTCAGGCTTCTTCCGCAGACACTGACGCAGCGCAGCGCAGATGTCGGGATGGCAGTGGATGAATCGGGCCATGAAGGGGTAGCGGCTGAAGCCGTCCAGCAGACCGGTGGCCAGCTGATGGTCGGCAAGCCATCCCTCGCCCACAACCTGACAGAGACCGAAAGGCACCGACAGTGGAGCCATGAACGAGATTGAGGTCTCTCTCTTGCCGATGCTCACCTTGCGATGGATGCGCCACAGGATGCTCTGACTGCTGCCCGTTGTGAAGATTCGGTCGACGTCGAATTGGAGGTAGTCGAGAGCTGTCATCGCGTCGAGCAGATTGTCCTTGGTCAGCGACTTGACGATGTCCACCTCCTGCTGCAGCACCACCTCACCGATGGGCCGGCTGATCTTCTCGATGCACACCTGACGCTCCTGGCCCTCCGAAAACTCACCGTCCATCACCTGCACACACACAGACGACACACATGGTGTCCATGTCGCGTGTCTGTCATCTCTGGCGTGTTTGGTGTGTCGCATCTGACCTGAGTGAAGTATTTCAATTGCCGCAGAACGCCCTCCTTTCTCTCGAGGGGCGCATCGCCCTCCCCATCGCCAGCGAACCGCACACTCACAGACGGCTCCATAACACCGGCCACCGCAGCAGGACGATGACAGCAGACACCGAGGAGGCGACGGCAGCACCCTCGACGAGAGCAGAGGACACCACGACGGAGATGCGCCGCACCAGCAGAGTCACAGCTCCTCAATCTCTTTCGCAGTCAGGGGACGATCAGAAGGCTTGTGCTGGTGCCCACTCCTGCGTACGCCTTGCTCGGCGTGCTATTCGCGACAGCTCGATCTTCTTAGTATGTTTGGCCTACCACCAGCAGCAGCAGCGGCAGATGGGGAGGCCGCCAACACCGAACCAACACGCCTGCAGTGACTGATGAGCCGACAACACACAGAGAGAGAGATGCTCACAGACAAAGAAGGTCAACGCATTGAGGTGACTGAATGGGTCAGTAAGTGTGTGGCCTCCCTCTCACCTTTGCTGTCTGTCAGCTCAGCGGCCCGCCATCCCACACGTAACAGACGAGCAGATAGAAGAGAATAGAGGCGTGATTGTGTCCTATTGACTTCCGAGTGGCGCTCTCTTCCCGAGTTTGGAGGAGCGGGTCGGCTCCCGTTGCCTGAACAAGATCCGCTTCTACCGCCGAGATCTGCCTGCTGCCTGTGTGTCGTTGTGCCTGAGTTCAAGACCCCTCGTGTGCAGTGACGAAGCAGCAGCAGCATGCCGCAGACGAAGCCCAAAATAGGGAAGAGGGCGGTGCGAGCTGGAGGAACAAGCTTTTCCTCTCTCCATTCTCTCACTGGATGGTCCTCTGGACTCTCACTGGACAATCTCGTGCACCGAAATGGCCAAACGAATGTGTGAGCTTTGAGAAAAACGGCAATTCGATCGTCACTCGATCACCGACTTCCGCAAATTAATTTTCTTTTTTCATCACATGAACCGCTCCGCAGTGAGACCATTGAAACGACAGAAGAGACAAACAGGCGAAAGGAACGCGGCAAAGGCTGGGGGTTTGGTGGGGGCCCCCAGCTCAGCTCGTGGGGTTCAGGGTTTCAAACCCTACCCTTGACCCCTCATACCCTCTGGTCGCCCTGCCCCGCCCCGTTGTCAGCCCTCGGTGACGGCCCACTGCACGAGATCTGTCATCTGCCCTCACCCCTTCCTCTCTCCCTCCCTCCGATTCTCTGTTCTCGGGCGCTTTCACCGAAAAACACACAGGGGCGATTGATGCCATGACGGGTGGTGACAGCCAGGTGATGCATGGCGCTGCGATGACGGGATGGTGGTGGTGGTCATCTGTCTGTGTGTGTGGTGGGCTGCAGATGTCGTGTGGCGGGGGCGGGGCGGCGGTGCCTGGCGACAACACTGCACTCGACCAACTGGTACGCAGAGAGAGGTGGGCACACACACACATTGGGACACAGGCAGGACTCACACACACAGATGTCTGTCTGTCTGTCCTCAGTGTGTGAGTGTCTGTTTGGCTCTCTGATGGCTTCGACGCGCTGATGGCGATGATATGTGCTGAAAGGAGAGAGATCGGCCGATGAGCCGACGGACGGGCTGACTGAACTGAACTGAATCTCTCACTATGTCGCCTTTTGGTCGTATGTGCGTCGATCTCACTGTGTTGTGTTGTGGGGCTTTGCGTGTCGGTCGGTCTGGCTGCCATTGTCATTGGTCCTCGGCGTCTCACCCATCAGCCGTGTGCTGCCATGAGTGTGTCGGCTGATGAGTGGGGGGCGGGGGAGCGATGACAGACAGACAGACAGACAGACAGACAGAGAGGGAGGATTGGCTGGTTGGCTGCACAAAGGAATCGCTGTGGGGGGTGGCGGTGGCCGTCTGCCTGTAGTGTGGTCATGTGCTACGCATGGCCGCGAGAGTGTGTCGATCTCTCGTCGATGCATCCGTCACACACGGCCGGCTCACAGACAGACCGACACACACACACACAGACATCTGGCTTCCCTCTCTGTGGGCATCATCGACTTCTTGGCAACTCCAGAGCGTCAGCCCGTGAAGGGTGTTGGTGCTTTAGGGTTGCCGGGCGGCGACAGAGATGCGCACAGAGGGGCGGGCGAGGGAATGGACACACACACACACAGAGAGAGAGAGAGAGATCTGTCTGTTTGCCTGTCTGTGAGTCATGTGTGTCTGTCTGTCTGTCTCTCTGTGGGTGTGACTGAGTGGTGGGGATGATGTGTGCTGAAAAAAGAAAGATCGGCCGATGCGCCGACCCCTGCTGCCCAATAAGTACTGACTGCCTGGCCTTAGCTGACATCTCTCTCCCTTTGTTTCTCTGTCGTGGCCCTTTTGCGTGTGGGTGTCGGTCGTCGACTGACGGACGACAGCAGGGCAACACGAGAGCTCATTATGCGGCGGTGTGCGGCGGTCTGATGATGGGCTTTGGTGTCTGCGAGCAATGGTAGACCGATCGACACACAGAGAGGGAGGGACACACAGACGGACACACAGAGAGGGGCGGCCGATGACGTCTGTGTCTGTGTGTGTGTGTCAGCTGTGGTTGGTGTGCTGATTCACTCGCTGGAACAAAGCCGGACGACGGCCGAGCGGCTGCCGCTGTGAGATCGGCCGATGAGTCGACGAGCTGATGTGAGTGAACTGACTGTCTGTCTCTCTGCCGCGTGGACGGCATCGATGGACTGACGGCTGTCGTGTTTATGAGAGTGTATTGTGTTGTGTTGTGGGGCTTTGCGTGTCGGTCGGTCTGGCTGCCATGAGTGTGTCGGCTGATGAGTGGGGGGCGGGGGAGAGATGACAGACAGACAGACAGACAGACAGAGAGGG